GTTGTTTTTAGTAATGAATGGTACATAAAAGTTCTAATGCTTGTCTGATTTTTGTATAATATAACTAGATGACATCATGAATCCTACATTTTAAATTTCTTTAGAAACCCCATCAATTTTATTTGTGCATTTATACCAGTACTGAATTAATATTTTAATTTTATAATCTGATACATAGTAGATGCACAAGACTAGTTATTAAATTAATTATGGCTTCATAAATATCATGTCAAATACTGCCATGTTCTCAAAACCAGAAATTTCCTGTTCTCGATTTGTGAAATTCTTTTTCTTTTTCTTTCTTTTTTACTGAGAATGGGGAAATAATTGATGCACAATTCAAATTTTCTTTCCTTATAGGTCTAGTATTTCATTTACTTTTACTGTTGGATACTTTCATCTCCTCATAATATAAGTAAAAATTAATACATTAACCTGACAAATTATTGCTAAATTCTTTTCTGTGCCAAATCCAACATTATGTGATAAATAACACAGGTTTGGAGTTGCCCTCAAGCATAGAAAGAATAAGATGATGTAGCAATAAAAGGAGTTTAACCATTGAGAAAGCATCACAGAATTCTAAATCCCCAAAGTGGCTGCAAATAATTTAATCTTTGAGTTTTACAATAGGAAGCTCTTCACCGAGGCCTCCTCCTAGAGGGAGGTATCATATCAAAAATTTCTATCCTTAGAAAGAAACACAAACTTACCTGAAATAGTCCCTAGCTTTAAATAAGCACATATGGACATTCACCAGAGGGGCTGCCCTGGCAGCAAACCAAGCGTCTTCCAGGGGAAGGAAAGATATCACTGAGCTGTACTTGCAGTCACCCTTTTTGTTAGCTTTTACTTTAAAGTCTCTTTTTTATTTTTTTTTTAATTTTATTTTAAAGAGGGTAGAACTAAACATAAACAGAACAAAGCAGATCAAAAGAAAACAATGTAAGTGACATAGATTTCAAAGCAAGACAACAGGAGATTATCACTGGCTACTACAATATCTCTTGTTTTCTTCTTGTCCATATCTTCACACACAATGAATTCATACAAAACAAAATAGTATTAAACTGATCAAAACAGCGTGATGAAGGCATTATAGGCCTTCAAAACCAGAAACAGGGAAATCACAAGGGCTGCAATAATGTCTCTTGTTCTTTTCAAAATAGCTGCCCATACCTTTATACACTGAAATTAAACACAACAAAACAGACTCAAACCATTCTGAACAAAGAATAGAAGCATTACTGGATTTCACAGCATGATGATATGAAATCAGCAATGCATACCATAATGTCTGTTTTCCTTCAAAGTAGCTGTTCATTTCATCATGCACAATATAATCGATTCTCATAAACTATTTAGAAGTTCTAGGCATGTATAAGCCTCTACATGTATACCTACCCTTTCTGCATTACATGAAAAAAATTTAAAAAACAGATTATTAGAAAACTAAGAAACAAAACAGACAAGTAAATAACAATAGCAAAGAGCCCAAAACACTGACAATATAGGCCTTCCAAACACGGTGGTAGGAACATAGCTAGAGGTGTTATTTTACATAAAGTCTCTTTTTTAATACATGCACAGCTTCAAAGTCATGGGTAAACCCTTTCTCAGATGCAGGGAAATAACTGAACCCATCTTCGTGGAAAGCAAAGAGGTAAGTTGAATCAACGGGAACAAACATTTTGTTCTAACCGCTAGGAAAATAAGAGAGGAACACTTGAGCCCCGGAATTTGAGACTGACCTAGGAAATACAGCAAAACCTCAGCACAGAGCCTACCAAGGTCCTGGCTTCCGCTCCTGGACAGATAGATAAATAATTAGATATATGTTATAGATGATAGATAGATAGATAGACAGACAGGTAGATATGACTAATACAGAGTTCAATTTTAAATGGTCAAATATTTATTGATATAGTGAATTAATGGGCTCAGCCATCAGAAAGAGAGGTAATTTTAACTATTTCTTGAAATTTTATCTATTAAACTTAATCGCTTTTGCAGTGCTGGAATCAAGCATAGGCCTTCATAAATGCTAGGCAAGTCCTCTACCACTAAAGTACTTCCCCATCCCTTCTTTCCTATTTCTTTAGTAGTTGCTTTTGAGAATATCCAGAAAAAGAGTTTCATATTTTCTTCCTAATTTCTCAAATGGCATCATTTCATTTTCCTCTCCCTTTTCATCTCTTCCTTCTCTTCTTTTTCCCTCAGTGTTTTCAATGGATGTCACTCATAGACATAGGCTGCTGACGATAAAATATACATTAGCAGGACTCTCATATAAGATAACATTGGATACTACAAGGTACCTGTGCCTGACTCAGAGCAGAGGCACCCAGCAATGCCCATCTAAAACATGATTGAGACACTGTTTTGCTCCAGGCTCCAATTTGAGAATCCTGATCCCCAGACAACTTAGCTTTTAGCCTCATGCAAACTTTTTTCTATCATAATGTTCACACCAATATTACACAATTATGAAATTATTTTTGTAATATATATTACAAATAATCTCTTCTGCTATATCACTTGATTTTAATCTCATCTTATGGTAATTTATATCAAAAGATGTTTCAAACTCTTGAAGTTAAATTACATGTTAGTGTTTCTAAGACTTAACAGAAAGTCTCTTCCCTTTATAACGTGGAGTTGAACTTGATTTCTTGGAATTAAGAGTATTTCCTACCAGCTCAATGGAGCACCAAGCTGTGAATTAGGATGTATTATCTTTACTGTAAAGAAGGGAAAAATCTTTTTTCGATGATTTTGTTTATTCAACCTTATTTGAGCTTGACCCTCATAAAGGATTCCAATACAAACTTCAAAATAGGGATATACATCAGGAAACATTCCTTTATTTATTTATTTATTTATTTATTATTTTTTAAAAAGAAAAATAATACAAGTAATGATACAGAATTTCAAAATAGGATGATAGGAAATTAACAATGGTCTTGATTGTATCGCTTTACCAGAAAAGTCTCGAGTTTATCCTTCTTTATAGCTGGGTAGCCCTCCATTATACAACACTACTACATCTTTCTTTCTATTTCTCAGTTGATGGGCATTTGGGTTGTAGCCAAGATTTAGCTATTGCAGATTGTGCTGTGCACCAGCTCAGGAGAACAGCCACATTTCTTCTCACAGGCTATGAGGAGTTCTGGGTTTAGAGGTCTCAGGAATAGAAGAAGGTGGAAAATTTATCATTGGTATTGTGGTTTTGAACAATATTTCCCTGTACAACACAAACAAACATACTCAGATATCAGGTAGGGTGAAGGAGAAGAGCTCTGAGAGTGCTTAGAAACCTGAACTTTCCATTCACCAGCACTTAACAAGCAAGAGCTAATCTCCTGGATATGCAAGAAGTTCTTACAAGACAAGGCAAACACTCATCTTTTAAATAAGCCGAAAATTTGAATAGGCACTTCACCAAAGACCTAAAATGATAAATAAGCACACAATGCTCAAAATAGCCATAAAGGAAACACAAATTAAAACAAGAGATACTACTACCATCTAGAAGAATGACTAAAATAAAAATGAATGACTATGGCTAGCATTCATGAAGTTGTGGTGCAAGCAAAACTCTCATCACTGCTACTGATAATGTGACTAGTTCAGCCATTTAAAAAACAGGTCTACTGTCTCCTGAGCAGCTAAATATGCATCTATCCCATAACCTAGCATAATCTCCTTCAAAAAATAAAAGCTATGTCCATCAACTGACCGGAGCCGCGGAAGACAGGAGGCCAAACTCGAGCAGGATCAGCTCTCAAACTTTATTACGTACAGCGAACCGGACCTAACAAGGTCCGCCACCCTCAACGTTGATTCCTCTTCAGCCGTTGGGGGCAGGAACAACCTCTTATAAGGGGAAGCAGTATCCAATCACAGAGAAGCGCGCCTAACAATCTGATAGGCTAGCGTCACGGGTAACTGGGCAGATATGACAATTTGGCGGGCTTGTTCAGGCCGGGAAGAACCCGGAAGCAGGAAATGGGCGCCATCATAGGCGGCTTCCCACATCTCCCCCTTTTTTATTTATTAAAATAGGATGGTCTGTGGGTCCCTCCAAGGTGTCTATGACCTTGTTGCTGTTAGACACCTAGGAGTGGGCCTACCTTGTAGGCCGAGGCATGAGAGAATGTAGAGGTCTATACCCTGCTGTGCATCACCCTGTTTTGTGCATATCCTTGCGCCAGGACCATGCTCAAGGTGAGTGGTTCATTTTTTCGCAGGGCCAGGCTTTTGTGAACCGAACCTGGATGCATATAGACATTCATTCCTGCCTTCCCCCCAACCTTTGGGGCAGATGGCACTGCAGTACCCTTGGTCTCGCATCTCAATGCCAATAATTTGACTCCAGAAGGGACCCCTGGCCTTATAGGCCATGTATATCTGAGTGGAGCCTGTCTTAGGTTGACCGGGAGGGCTTTTCCCGTCTTACCCGTCATTGGCTTGCCCACTCAGCTCTTATAGCTGATGTTCTGCAATGTGAAGGAGATATGCGGCGGCCTGCTGGCCTGATGGGCCACCTGCTGCCATTTGCATGGCTGCCATAGCTGTGATCTTAACCTGCTGCTGAGTTTGTATGAGGCGATCTAACAAGCATTTAATAACCACAAGCCCTACTAGGATAGCCATGGCAATTAGGATCCAAAAAGAGGTAATCGTGGGACAGAAGGAAGAGAAATGGAGGGTCGACCGGAGTTAAGCGGGTGGGTCATAATCAAGGACTGTTTGATTGATGGTGTAAACCCTGGGTGAGGCGGGCGAGGCCACCGAAAAAGGTGCCAATGTGGGCGGGTGGTGCCAAGGACCCCAAAGATATTGTGGTGGTTCTGTGGAATCTGAGCATGATTAATAGGAACCCACAGAATAGAAAAAGCTCCAAACCAGACATTTTAGTTTGTAGATGGTCTCGGGCGCTGAGCGTCAGTCCCAGAAGGGTCGAGTTGACTTGTGTCCGCGGGCTTATCCTCCTGTGCTTTATCAGGAACTGGTGGGGAGTTTACTGCTCGCATCAATCTTTCCGGGACCCACAGCGGTTCGCGACCTGGTTCCTGTGGGAAGACACAAACCGCACCTCGGGTCCAACTAACCACTGGATCCGGGCCCATCCATTGTCCTGTAAGGACATCTTTCCATCTCTCCAGCCCTTTGTCGGCCGGGGACGGGTTATTGTGCTCCATGGCAGGGGAATGATTATTATGATTAAGGTTTAAAAAATTTATGGTAAAGAGTGCCAATGATATTCTTCCTTTGGGCGTTAGGCCGTGGCACAATTCACGGCACAGGCGTGTCCACTCTTAAGGACCTATTTTTGTTAGTTCTTAGGACATCACGGCACTCCTTAGTGCACTGTTCAAAAATCAATTGTTTTATGAGAGGGTGAGCCGCCTCAGCATCTGGAAAAATCCTGTTAGCGGCCTCAAGCATGCGGGCCACAAAGTCTGAAAATGGCTCTCCCTGCCCTTGTATAATTTTTGTAAGGTGACCCGTATGTTCTCCCTTTCCAGCCAGCCGTCTCCAGGCCTGGAGGCCACAGCGGCTAATTTGTTCATAAACCTGGCGAGGGTATTGAGTTTGATCTTCCTCAAAGGCTCCTTGCCCTAATAGCATATCCCTGTTCCACTCTCTCTGGTTATTTTCCCTGTTGGCTGCCGCCTGCTCTACACAGAATTCCTCATTCCAGGACTTCCAATCTAAATATTGTCCGGGGGAGAGGCAGGCGCGTGCCAGCTGGGTCCAATCTCCAGGAGTTAAAAGCAGACCTGCCAATGCCTCTAAAAGCGCCATGGTAAATGGCGCATTGGGCCCATAAGCTGAAACTGCGTCCTTGATAGCTTTAAGTTGTTTAATTTCTAAGGGCTCATAATATCCTCCTCCTCCCCTGCCTCCTACTTGTACCGGGAATGCATGGAGACCGGAACACTCAAAGGGAAGCCGCGACCATACCCTCTGGTGGAAGGAACGTCCTCCTCCCTCCCCAGATGGGGGCGCAGAAGGCAACCCAGGAAGTAGCTCTCCCTTTAACCAGGGCGGTGCCATAGGTTGTGGTGGCAGCCCAGGGAGCAACTCCTCTTCCGGCCACGGCGGTGCTATCTTCCCGAGCCCTGAATTCGCGAACTTGCCAAAGGGCGGAAGGGCTTAGTGGGGCCTGGCGCCCTGAAGGGGGTGATCGTGGGTCACGAACTTGCCAAAGGGCGGAAGGGCTTAAGGTCTTCCCGTAAGGCGGAGTAGCTCGGGCAGGGTGGTGTTTGGTTCCCCTTTTTATCTTCCCGAGCCCTGAATTCCTCTTTAAGCTGTGCAGGAGGGTCCTGTTTAGCGAAGACAACCTCCTCTTCTGAACCTTAATTAGAGCCCTGAGGGTCCTCCGGAGACCCACAATCGGCAGTGGCTCTGGGCTCCTCTGAGCATTCCGATCGAGCTCTATCAAAAGCCTGTCGGGCTGTATTAGCGAAGCGAAAGCAAAACAGATGCAAAGGGAAAAGAAAAGAAAAAAAAACCCAGCGTCCACTCGTGTGGCGCTCAAAATCTGTTAGGTGCGTCCACCCAACCCAGGTGACCCAGTACTCACCTGTCCCGGGAACCGCTGTATCTCACGTAGCTGATCAGGGTGAAGAGAAGAGGTGCTCGCGGCCTTCCGTTGTTATTGGGCCAGGTCCTCCGTCGTACCGCAGGCGACAGCAATCGCACCTCCCGGCCGAAGAGGCACGTCGCTGAGTCTTTTATTCCCCGTACGGGGGCCACCAGATGACCGGAGCCGCGGAAGACAGGAGGCCAAACTCGAGCAGGATCAGCTCTCAAACTTTATTACGTACAGCGAACCGGACCTAACAAGGTCCGCCACCCTCAACGTTGATTCCTCTTCCGCCGTTGGGGGCAGGAACAACCTCTTATAAGGGGAAGCAGTATCCAATCACAGAGAAGCGCGCCTAACAATCTGATAGGCTAGCGTCACGGGTAACTGGGCAGATATGACAATTTGGCGGGCTTGTTCAGGCCGGGAAGAACCCGGAAGCAGGAAATGGGCGCCATCATAGGCGGCTTCCCACAATCAACATTCATATAGTAGGTAGGAGAATGGTACTTGGAAATAATTCAAATATCAGCAACAGATGGTTCTATATAATAGAAAACCGTAAGGAGCTAGCACAGAAAGATTTCTGTTATGGATCATATGTTTGTATCCCCATAAAAGCATATATTGAAATCTTACATGAAGCTATAAGGATAGGAACCTCAAAATGAGTTTAGTGTTCCTGTAAGAAAAGATACCAGAAAGCGTGTTCAACATCTTCACCATGTGAGGACACAGCAAAAGAATGTCTTCTGTATGCTGGCAAAAAAAAAAAACACACCAAAAGACACATTGACTGGTACCTTGATTTTAAACTCTAGATCTATGACACAAATAACTTTGTATTTTTAAGCCACCTGATCTATGACATTCTTTATGGCATCCCACACTTCCTAGTACAGTCTCAAAAGAAATATGCTGAGAGGAACCACACAGAAGCAATTATATCTTGTATGATTCTATTTAAATAAAACTTCAGAAAATTCAAACTGATTCATTTTAAGAGTAGTCACAAGACACAAAATCAACTTTTAAAATCAATGACTTTTCTCTAATACCAACAATGCACTAGCTGAGAAAGAAATCAGGAAGACAATTTCACTCACTATAACTTCATAAAACAGTACCTAGAGATCAACTTAACAATGAAAAACCTCTGTGTGAAATTACAGAACAGTGATAAATTGAAGAAGACACTAGAAGATGGATTTGGGGCTTTTATTAGTTTTGTTAGCATATATTGATTATAAAGAAGAAAGGTTTGTATTGTGGCAAAATAAATAGGGGAAAATGTGTCCTCTGGGCTTCTGCTCAATGATCTTATTGTATCAAAGCCTGTGATTTCTTTTACCTGTGTGAAAAGTAACTTTTAAAGACTTCCTAAATTACTTTCTGGTGTGGTTGCACTTGGAAAAGCATTTTTAAATAGTGACTTTGTATTTCTAGTTAATAACCCTAAAGTATTTACCAGGAAATTCATTCTGAATCTGAGAGAGTGATTTGTTCTCCTGTGAGTCCATCAAAATAATATACAATAAACAAGGTCATGGAAGAATCAGGTGACAAGGTAATGGCTGCCTGTTAAGAGAGACATCCTGCCTTGCCATCCCTGGCATACAATCATTCCTAGTCAGACACAGTCTTTTCAAGATGCCTCCCTGTCTCAGGGAAGCAAACTGACCTGTGCAAGGATCCTAAAGCACTCAGCCTTGGATATGAGTGGGAGATATAAATGCCTCAATATTCCCATTTGCCAATAGATGCTTCTGTAGAGAGATTTAGTTTTTCCTGGATTTATCTCTGTAATGTTTTCATGCCGTAATACACCAATATCGATGATAAAACTATACCTAATAGACCTAATACCTAATACATCTATACCTAATATCTATACACCTAATACCTATACACCTATACCTAATACACCTATAACTATATATAGGTATCAAATATATTTCTTTTCTCTTTACTGACACTATTTCTTTCATATAAGTTTTTATATTTTTTGTTTCTTTGCTACATTAATATCTATTAAAGCTCTCTCTGTATGTTATTGTATTGTTAATTGTTTTTTTTAACTGTCACACTTTCTTCATTGTAATTTAACTTTTTTCATTTATCATTAACATGTATTTGAAAATGCCTTTCAAACATACAGGGAGAAGCCAAATGGGTCTCTAATATTATATGATTTCTTGTATGTTTCCCTCTTCATTTTCAATGCTTTGAATATTTTTTACACTTAAAGTAATTTACATTTGAATGTCAAATTTCATTATAACCCTTTCTGCTCTATTAGTCTTAGCTCCTAGCATCCTTTATTTTACATAAATTATTCTTTACTTTAAATTGGTTGATACTCATTTTATTAAAGTTCTACAGTCATATTTAATTAATGCCACTATTTCCAATTGAGAGTTTAGCATAGTTTTATCTTCTGTTAATGTTACAACTTGTTTTATGCTATTTAAATGGTACCATTCTAAAATAGTAGTTCAGGAGCTGCCATGATTGGTAGGAAGAGGCTCCAAAATGGGCTCCTGCTCATGTCATTGACCCAGAGTTATAGTGACTTGTAGAGAGAGAATTTGAGATGGACCCCATTCCTGCCATTGACTCAGAGCTTCAGTGACTGGTGAAAAGTCACTTTGAGACAGATTCTTTGATCTCTTCACTGGTGGGACTCAGGGACCAGAGATCAGCAGAAATGCCAGCAATACAGTAAGACTCCAGCTGAAAAACACATGATGGACAGACAGGACCAGTGGTGCAGAAAATCCCAAAGCAGCAGTAACACTACAAGCCAGGAGGTGGTGAGTTAGGTGAACCAGCTGTGTGTTTGGGGACAAAGACACACAGACTAGAAGTGTGCAGGTAGGGCCACTTTTTCTTTTTTCTGTTCCCTATTCTTTTCTTTCTTCTATCTTTTCTATTTTCTTTTTTTAAAATAGTTGAGGAGAATTTCAGTCACAGAAAACTAATCCTACCTCATAAATCCAGAGACAAAGATGAGAACCAAACCCAGCACAAATCCACCTGCAATCCTGGCTAGAGTACATATTCTAGGATCAGACTGGGATGTCCCACAGACCTGTAGACACTAAAGGAATCTCACTGCTTTTATTTTTCTCTGTCTGAAGGGTTTTCCTCTTAGTAATCCACCCAGCTAGCATGTTTTGTTTTGTTTTTTGATCTTTATTTTTTTGTGTGTTGCTGTTTTTGTTTGTGTTTTTCCCCCTTTGTTTTCTTTTCTTCTCTCTCTTGTTTTGTCCTGTTTTGTTTTTCTTCCTGTAGGTTTGGTGCTTTTTTCTCTGTGTGTGGTTATTTTTGTTTCCATTTTTTCATTTTTCTATTTTTTCTGGCTTTTTTCTTCTTCCTCTTTTCTACTTACTTTTCCCTCTCATTCATGATTTAGATCTCTATACTTTCCCTTTGTATTATTCCACTTGTATTCTTCCTCTCTTTCATCAACTGATTTGCTAGACTTTATGAGACTTTCATGTGAGTAAACATTGTTTCTTCACTTTCTGGTTCACTTCAACACTCCCAGGCTTTCTCTTCCAATCCTTCGCTCTTGTATCCTGCAGTTACCCAAAACTTGATGACCATCCTTTGCTCACCAAATGTGTCCGTACTATACTTAACCCACCCACCTCTCCCTAATACCCCTCTCCCTCTTAACCACCCCCCACAACAGGGTAATAACACTTTACTAAGTGTAAAATTATTGCATACAAGTTCCTGCTATAAGATGGATCATGCTATATAACTATAGAACTTGTTCCTATGATTAAAGATGTCAAGCTAATTGTTGTCATTTTTGGTAGTGTATTACTTTAATCAGATGCTATTCCTGTTATAATCAACTTTTCTCCCCTATATGACAACACTGAGATTGCAAAGGGTCATAACCATCACCATAGTCCAGTACCAAAATAATGGACCTTGAGTCAAATAGATAGTAGCTTCACATTCTTAATATTTTGGGAAGGTAGGTTCTTAGGATACACAGAAGGACCAAGAACCATTTATATCTAGAAGACATCCCTGAGGAACAGACATCACCTAGGAAAGTCTCAACACAAGGGATAAAGCTAACATAAAAATATCTGGAAATATCCACACAGAAAACAAAATAAAATTGAAAATTACAAGAGGAAGAAGCAAAATGCAACCCCAAATGCCCAGCCCACCAGAACACATCCAATGCATAAAGAGATACAAGATATCATTAGATCACCACTGGAACACTCTGAAATGATAGCAGCAGAAGTGAAAAACAAATGGAAGAGGCCATAGAAAAGTTAATATCTAAGGTACAAAAGAAATGCCAATCAAAATGGAAGAAATTAAAGCAGACAGATAAAGAAATAGAGGAGCTTACGAAAACATTGGAAACCATAAAAACCCAACATAGACAAGAAATTGAGTCAATGAAATACATCCAAACAAACATCCAAGAGTTTGAAAAAACTCCAATGACAGTATATGCAACAGATTGAATGAAGGCAAGAATACATTATCAGAACTAAAATTCAGGGATGTGACTAGTAGCCAAGAAAAGAAAGATATCTTAAAAGTAGCAAGGGACCACAAAAAAATCAATCCAATAAGAGAACAACATAAGACGATTGGAATGAGTGAGAAGGTGGAGACAGTGCAAAAGCCATTAAAAATCTCTTCATAGAAACCTCTTTGCAGAAAACCTCCCAAACATGGGTAAAGAATTTAACATACAAATAAATGAAGCTTATAGAACTCCAATAGCCATGACCAAAATAAATCTATACCAAGACATGCAACAATCAATATTCCAGAAATTCAATGTAAGCACGAAGTATTAAAAGTAACTAGCTCTAGCCAAGCAGGGTGGCACATGCCTGTAATCCCAGCAATGAGGAGGCTGAGGCAGGGGATCATTGCAAGTCTGAGACCAGCCTGGGCCACAAAGTGAACTTAATGCTGACTGAACTGCATAGTAAGACCCTATCTCAAAAAGACCCAAAAAAGCAACTAGAAAAAAGAAACAAATTGCCTATAAAGGAAAGTCCATGAGAATCAGGTTATCCCTTAATACAAACCCCCAAATCAAGGAGAGTATGGAGTGAGGTATTTCAAGACATAAAAGCAAACAAATTTCAATCCAGATTGATCTATCCCATAATACTATCTTTCAAATTCAGTGAAGAAAGAAGATACTTGCATGACAAAGAACAACAGAACAAAGTCATGACTACCAAGCCAGCTCCACAGAATTCTCTAAAGGATGTGTTAGAAAGAGATAGTGAAAACCACAAACTCACAAACACCAATAGACAGAAACTAGCAAGCAGGGCAAGCAATTAAACAGAGGAGAAAGACAGGTAGCCAACAACAGGAAACTAACATGAAAAAGATAAGCCAATACTTATCAGTTACAACCATCATTGTAAATGGTCTCAACTCTCCAATAAAAAAAACAGAATATAAGAATGAGTCAAAAAATAAGATTCAACATGCTGCATTCAAGCAACACATTTACGGCCGGGAATTTAGCTCAGCAAAATAAGCATCTGCCTTGCAAGCACACAGTCATAAGTTTGAGCCCTGGTATCACACACACACACACAAAAATTTAATCCAGAAAGAATTTCATAGACTAAAAGTTAAAGGATGGAAAACAATGTTCCATGCCTCAGTAACCCAGAAAAAAGCAGAAATAGACTTCCAGGTAGCCACCTGCGAAACACACCACAACAATCCCTACCTAAATGTGCAGCCATAGGACTCTGCCTGGAACCTAGTAGGCCCCACCCAGTGCCCCCAAACAGTGTGGGGCCTTTATGTTATCACTGAGGTCCTGGGTGGGTCCTGCCCAGCCACTGCCAGGTAACTAAGAGCCTCC